GACACCTAGCATGACTAGGCATTTCGGGCAAACTTAGATTAATTCTTAAACCAAAATTATTACAAATTATGGAGTAAGTTGACTAAATACTAAGTGACTAAATACTAGTTTGTGAGTTCAGCAATGTGAATGCTTTTGTTTTGGCACAATGCATAGTTTCTATATTGGAGTATCACAGGCAAACTTAGGACTAGTTAGGAATCATTACTTTAAGATTAAGATTCGTATTTCTGTGCTTATAGTCAGATGGGTGAGTGAGTGAGTGTAAGTGTGAACCACCAGGTGGTTTTTATGTAGTTAGTTGACTGGGTGTATTAGGGAGATGAGATGTTTTCTAACGGTAGTTTTGAAGGTGATGAATGTGTCTGCAGTTCTAGAGTTTTCGGGTAGGGTATTCCAGATTTTAGGGCCTTTGACATACATTGAATTTTTGTAAAGGTTTAGTCGGACACGGGGAATGTCGTAGAGATGTTTGTGTCTGGTGTTATGCCTGTGGGTCCTGTCACAGCTATCAAGAAAGCATTTTAGGTCAAGGTTAATATTGGAATTTAAGGTCCTGTAGCTGTAGATTGCAAAGTAGTAAGTGTGGATGTTCTAAACAGGGAGTAAGTTTAGATCTATAAAGAGTGGGGGGGGTGTGTTGCCAGGGATGGGATTTAGCGATTATTCTTACTGCTGCTTTTTGTTGGGATATTATTGGCTTTAGGTGTGTTGCTGCAGTTGATCCCCAAGCACAAATAAATAACAAATCAATCATTAAATTTAAAAAGAAAAAATTCAATTTTTTTTTCTTTTTAGGTCACCCTATCTTGGTGAGGTATGGCTTATGCTTTAAGAAAAATTACCGTTTCAACACTTGATCTCAGGAATTTAAGCTTTTCCTTTTCTCCAAATTAAACATTATTCTCTCCCTCCCCCCCATACACACAGCCTTCCCATTCTTCATATGGTAAACATTACTTGCAAGTTTCATGCTTGCCCATGAACTTTGTAGTGATACTGTTTAACCCATAAAATTCTAAAGACAGACTAGATACACATCAGTCTACAATAATGTTTACATTACTTACACATTATTTTACAGATAGTTCAATAAGTAAAATAAATTACATATGTTTGAGGGTGATGCTCAATTTCAGGGTTTAATAATGAAGTTTATTGTGAATAAATTAAGTTATTGGATAAAATGTGTACAGTAGTAAGTTAATCATTTATGGCATGGGACTCTTCAAGAAGATTTTATATGGATTATTTTCCTGAAGGGTTAGTAACCAAGGATAGGCCAGGATAACCACTGTGTCATGTATTATTTTCATTGGTGTCCTTTAATCCTCTTGTCCAGCATGTGACTCAGAGCAGTCAGCTAACACCTAGGTACTTAATGCTAAGTGAGCATAGGCAAGAGGTGTAAGGCAACATACTGGAAATGAACTCAGGTTCTTCAAATGTAAGTGGAAGGCACCATCACTTGTGCTACAGGTAACAATGGTACCTTGATACTGGTGAAGAGTTCTTGAACTGAAGCTGCTCTTTCTTTCCTTAGGTCAAATCTGGGTATAACTTCCATTCCTAGGCTATGTGACTGCTAAGAATTTAAAATCTCATCACAAATTAGTAGTAGAATAGTTATAACTATGACCATAATTTTTAAAGGGGTGGACCAGTAAGTCAGCGGAAGGCCTTGGTCAGATGACCAAAAGCTCCATTGGCAGGTCATCATATGTCTAAGACCTGCGTCAGGAAGCACCTGTCCTGTTTCATGACAAACCTTATGAAACGAACCAACCATCACAAAAATATGTCTAGGCAGTTGAGAAATGGGCAACTAAAGTTTCGCTTTACGGCATTCCATTAATACAGACATTTCCAATTATGACCAAAACTTGCTATACGGCTCCCCCCACCTGACTTTCTAATATGGTCACCGCGTCCCACCCAGTTTAACATTCTCCGTGAGCACCGCATCTTTCCATTATGTCTGGAAGCTTCAAAATTTTGAGTGCTTTAAAGTTATTTCGTGTTATATATACGTATACTCTTATAATTATATGTATGTGTACCTGTACCTAAATATACTTACATACTGTGTTGGCATGCAGGCACACATTAAAATCACTAAGAGTGTCTTATTAGTCTTCAGGACACCATATTAATGATGGTACTATTATACATTAGTCATCAATGAGGCACATTAATGTCATATATTACGTTAATATAAACATTTTCATTAATCCATCTATGATATTTTTTTCAAAATTACATAATAAACATGCTATGTGACAAATATGATAAATACACCCCACAGTAGAATAAATTAACATAAATATGAGATGTTAGGTGTAGATGAACGTGTATCAACCAAAACCAGACATCGTCTGTTTGTTTACTCTCCTTTCTCATTTACTCATTCTCTCTCTCTCCCTCGTTTATTCGTTTTTATATCGTTTACTCACCTCTCGCCCTACATTAAGACTACAAATATTGTAATGTAAGTAATAAATGTACTGTATATGCATTTTTTATCACTAGGGAGCGGGAGAGTGGGCGAACGGGTGGCGAGCGGTCACTCGCCCGCCACCCATTCAGTTTGTGTGTTTACATTGTCTGAACTCTGTGTATCTTGTTCTCTCTCATTTACTGTCTTGTTAACTAGTTGGCTCTCGTTGATGATGGCGTCTAAGCTAAGCTGTGATAAAAAGAAGAGTTGTAAGCCTCTTACTTTAAGTGCCAAGTTAGAAATGATTAAACTTAGTGAACTGACTTTTTTGGGTTATCCTAGGTTCTCTACACATATGCTGCTATGTATGATAATCTATATAACTGTATTTGTGTATACCTGGATAAACTTACTACTAACAAGTACAGTGGACCCCCGCATATCGTTGGCCTTACATAACGTTAAATCCGCATACCGCTACATTTTATCGCTAAGATTTTGCCTCGCATACCGCTAAAAAACCCGCTCAACGCTGTTCGTCCGAGACGCGTCTATGTGTGGCCTGAGCCACGCTCACATGTTCCGCCGGTGGCATTGTTTACCAGCCAGCCTCCGCGGTAACATCCAAGCATACAATCGGAACATTTCGTATTATTACAGTGTTTTTGGTGATTTTATCTGCAAAATAAGTGACCATGGGCCCCAAGAAAGCTTCTAGTGCCAACCCTACAGCAATAAGGGTGAGAATTATTATAGAGATGAAGAAAAAGATCATTGATAAGTATGAAAGTGGAGTGCGTGTCTCCGAGCTGGCCAGGTTGTATAATAAACCCCAATCAACCATCGCTACTATTGGTGGTACAGCTGCTGCTGCTGCTGTACCACTGTCAGCTGCTGCTGCTGCTGCTGCTGTAGTACCGTCTGCTGCTGCTGTAGCATCGTCTGCTGCTGCTGTAGCATCGTCTGCTGCTGCTGTAGCATCGTCTGCTGCTGCTGTAGCACTGTCAGCTGCTGCTGCTGCTGTACCACCGTCAGCTGCTGCTGCTGCTGCTGTAGTACCGTCTGCTGCTGCTGTAGCATCGTCTGCTGCTGCTGTAGCACTGTCAGCTGCTGCTGCTGCTGTAGCACTGTCAGCTGCTGCTGCTGCTGTACCACCGTCAGCTGCTGCTGCTGTAGTACCGTCTGCTGCTGCTGTAGCATCGTCTGCTGCTGCTGTAGCACTGTCAGCTGCTGCTGCTGCTGCTGCTGCTGTAGCACCGTTGTTGGTGTGGCTTATTGAGAATACCAAGAAACAATTAACCCCAGAGGATTTGCCACCCAGGATAACCCAAAAAAGTCAGTGTCATCGAGGACTGTCTAACTTATTTCCATTGGGGTCCGGTTAGGTTAGGTTTAGGTTAGGTTAGGTCGACTAACACCCAGGTGAACAGGGAAAAATGCCTGGAACTAGTGCTCATATTGGTGAATTTAAAGCAAAGGTTGGTTTGAGAGATTTAAGAATCGTAGTGGCATACACAGTGTGATAAGGCCTGTTCTGGAAGAAAATGCCAAACAGGACCTACAGTACTCAGGAGGAAAAGGCACTCCCAGGACACTGTGTCTTCTCATCAGTCATTGCTGCATCTTCAATAAAGGTAAGTGTCATTTATTCTTCATTTAGTAGAGTAGTACATGCACAATATATATTGTGCATGTACAGTGTACTACTCTACTATTGTGCATGTATCCTTCTCTTTGTGTGTAGGAAAATATATATTTCATGTGGTAAAATTTTTTTTTCATACTTTTGGGTATCTTGCACGGATTAATTTGATTTCCATTATTTCTTATGGGGAAAATTCATTCGCATAACGATAATTTCGCATAACAATGAGCTCTCTTGCACGGATTAATATCGCTATGCGGGGGTCCACTGTATGTTGATGGCTGAGATAGCCATCAAATACAGTTACATATAGCAGCATATGTGTAGAGAACCTAGGATAACCCAGAAAAGTCAAAGTGACTTATTGCTGACATGGAGAAACTCTTATACTGCCACTCACGTTTCACGTGTATTAATATTTTAAGGTAAGTAACAAGTGTACTGTATGTGTATTTTGTTTTATTGTGTTTTTTAATGCCTAGTCCTATGGCTAACTTAATATGTGTTAATGTAAACCTGTTACCTAGCATTTATATGCATTTATAAGTGGAAAAAAGGTGTTTCACTTTACAGCAATTTCCCCTTTATGGTGGTAGCCTGGACCCTAACCTGCCGTATAAGTGGGGCCCCTACTATATATAGAAGTTTGACGAATGGTTTAGGTGCTCTGCAAGTCTGTGAATGCACAAAGGAATTAACAATGTCTCAGAAGGATTCTAAATGTGGTGGTCCATCAAACATTTAAGATTCCTGAGGGAAGATAGTGCTGCACATGAGCAGCACTTGTCTGTGAACTTGTGCTTTCATCTCTTCATCAGAACTTTCGGTGCACATTAACAGGTATGGTCCAGCTACATGCACTGTACCGTATTGGAGTCAAGTTGCTGTATTTTTTAACTCTGTATTTTTTATTGACAGGATGCCAGCTTATAAGAAAGATGGTTATGGTGGTGATGACCGAGGTGGTGTCCGTTACAGGTTAGTTATTATAAACGTGCATGGTTAGTTTTATGATATTGGTTGTGGTTCGTGTATAGGAGGCATCTTGTTTATAGTATTACTGTATAAGGTACTGTAATGTTAATTTCTTCCCTTTAATATTTATGCACTACTTGCTGGCTGCACAGGGGACGAGGCCGTGGTGGGTTTGGCCGGGCAGGGCGAGATAGTGGTGGCGGCCGAGGCTATGGACGTGGTGGAGGCAGTTATGACCATGATAGATATAAGTGGAGTGACAGAGGAGGAAGACATGAAGGCTCTGGGGGCTACAGAGACAGAGGTTATGGTCAGAGCAGGTGAGTGTCTTGGTATTAACATCACCATAACCGTCTTGGAAACTGAACTGAACCTAGACTTGTGTTAGGTTTATGATGTGAATCCTTTGAGTGGATTATGGATGATCCCTCGCCTGATCAAGGGTTAATTAGAAAAAATGTTTTTAAGAAATTATTTTACAGTTAGTTCATGTTTATCATGTTTATCTGGAAATTTGACTTTTCTGCCTATTTTAACCCTTTGAATGTTTTGGTCATACATATATATACGTCTTAGGAGCCAGTGTGTTTGACGTATATATACTCAAAAATTCTAGCGGCTTCAAATCAAGCAGGAGAAAGGTGGTAGACCCACATGTGAGAAAATGGGTCTGTGTGGTCAGTGTGTGCAGCATAAAAAAAATCCTGCAGCACGCAGTGCATAATGAGAAAAAAAACTCCAACTGTGTTTTTTTTATATTAAAACGCCGACTTTGAGGTGTATTTTCATATAGTATTTATGGTTGTATTCTCGTTTCCTTGGTTCTCATTTGATAGAATGGAAAACAGTGATTGGTTTCAATATGAAAATTACCTTGAAATGGAGCTCAAAGTAGCAGAAATGTTCGATTTTTGCCGGTTTAAGAGTAAACAAATGACACCATTGTCCAATAAATGTCCAACTAGCCATTCTGATACGCAGTCACGAATGGGTTGACATTATTTATACAATTATTACAATAATGCAGTAGTCTGCTTAACAGTAAATCTTCTATTTTTGATGTGAATAAAAATTCAAAAGAGAAGCAAGATAATATAAGAGGGGCCTGGAGACGTGACTAAGGAACAGAGAAAATGTTATTTTAATGCCAGAAATGTCTGCATTGTTCATTCTAGACCCTATTTTGAAATTGGCTTATTTTTTAATTTGTGTGAAATTTCGCCAAATTGCCAATTTCTGACCACTTTATTGGGTAGTTGAAATCAGTAAATGAGCGGTTTCTTGTACTCAGTCGATAGAACAAGTAGAGTGCTAAAAAAAATAGCTATGAGTTTGGTCGACTGGAGCAATGGAATTGGCCGAAAATAGGGCTCACAGTGGGCAAAATTGCCAATGTGTAACTATCGCCGAGATCACTAACTTCGCGAGAGCATAATTCCGTAAATTTTCCATCAAATTTCGTACTTTTGGTGCCATTACCATTGGGGAAAGATTCTCTGTCATTTCATAAGAAATTTTTTTTTTTCCTCAAGATATTTTGTGACAGAGAGAGACTCTAGGATTGGGGGTTGCGACAGTCAGAGGGTTAAAAAATTCCACGTACATGTACAGGGAACTCTCTTAGATGAACGTATATTGAAGTTGAGTTCAATTTTGTTTAACAGTGGGTTTTATTATATGCTGATTCACATTGGTATTTTCATGCAGTGGCTAGTATTGGCAGTAAGTTCACTGTTTACACAGTTTTTGCTTTGACCCTTTGACTGTTACGGCCGTATATATACATCTTACGAGCCAGTGTTTCGGACGTATATACAGTGGACCCCCGACATTCGATGCCATCAACATTCGATAAATCCGACATTCGATGCATTTTAATGCAAAAATTTTGCCTCGACATTCGATGGAAAACCCGACATTCGATACGATTCGTACGAGACGTGTCCACATGTGGCCTGAACTGCCCCGTGTGTGCCAGTGTTTACAAGCCAGCCAGTGTGCGCGCATCTAAGGATACATTCGGTACATTCCATATTATCCATATTATCACTGTTTTTGGTGCTTGTTTCTGCAAAATAAGTCACCATGGGCCCCAAGAAGGCTTCTAGTGCCAACCCTGTGGTAAAAAGGGTGAGAATTAGTATGGAAATTAAGAAAGATTTTGAAGGGTTTGGGGCTAACCCTGAGAAGTCTATGCCAGTTGTGGACTCCATTGTGCCTACTTCAAAAATTAAGGAAATGTGTGCAAAGTGGGTTGAACTGCAAACCTTTATGGATGAAAATCACCCTAACACAGCTATTGCAAGCTGTGCTGGTGACTATTACGATGACAATGTTATGACCCATTTTAGACAAATCTTAAAGGAACGGCGACAGAGGTCCAGTGACTCTCAAGCTGGTCCTAGTGGCATTAAAAGAAGAAGGGAAGTAACCCCGGAAAAGGACTTGCTACCTCAAGTCCTAATGGAAGGGGATTCCCCTTCTAAACAGTAACAACTTTGACACACTCCCCTCCTCCCATCCCATCAATCATCACCAGATCTTCATTAAAGGTAAGTGTCAATTATTCTATTGTTATTATTGTATTGTTATTGTTGTTATTGTAATTATTCTATTGCATTAAACTTAATACACCTACCATCCGACTTACGACCGAGTTCAGTTCCGAGAAACCGGTCGTAAGTCGAAATGGTCGTAAGTCGAACTTTACTACTGAATATCAACAAAACATTTTTGTAATGACTTTATTTTATTGTTTTATTTTGGTATTTCATGTTTTACTTTACTTTTTATGCTGTTAGTACTGTATTTTATACTGTAAGGTTTAGGATAAACACTGTGTACAACACAAATAGTTGTTTATTTCCCAGAAATTTGGCATAAAAAAACACGGTCGTAAGTCGAGTGGTCGTAAGGCGAGTAGGTCGTAAGTTGGATGGTAGGTATATTTCATGTGGTAAATTTTTTTTTTTCATACTTTTGGGTGTCTTGCACATATTAATTTGATTTCCATTATTTCTTATGGGGAAAATTAATTCGACTTCCGATATTTTCGACGTTCGATAGCTCTCAGGAACGGATTAGTATCGAATGTCAAGGGTCCACTGTATACTCAATAATTCTAGTGGCTTCAAATCAAGCAGGAAAAAGCTGGTAGGCCCACATGTGAGAGAATGGGTCTGTGTAGTCAGTGTGCACTGTATAAAAAAAATCGTGCAGCACACAGTGCATAATGAGAGACAAAAACTCTGACCGTGTTTTTGGATTAAAACACCGACTTTGTGGTGTATTTTCCTATAGTATTTATGATTGTATTCTCATTTTCTTGGTCTCATTTGATAGAATGGAAAACATTTTACAGAAATAGAGATTATTTTGTTTAGTTTCATGATGAAAACGACCTTGAAATTGAGCTCAAAGTAGCAGAAATGTTTGATTTTTACCACTGTTCAAGGGTAAGCAAATCACACCACACATCTAATACACGTCAATTGGGGAGTCTGATATTCTTTCACTGATATTATTTATACCATTTTTACAATAATGCAGTAGTCTGCATAACAGTAAATCTTCTATTTTTTGTGTGAATAAAAAATCAAAATAGAAAGCAAGAATAATATAAGAGGGGCCTGTAGACGTGACTAATGAACAGAGGATATGTTATTTTAGTGCCAAGAATGTCTGCATTGTTTATTCTGGACCCTATTTTGTAATTGGCATCTTTTTTAATTTGTGTGAAATTGGCCAAATTGCCAGTTTCTGACCTCTTTGTTGTGTAGGTGAAATCAGTAAATGGGCAGTTTCTTGTACTCAGTTGAATAAAAAAATGGAGTTCTAAAGAAATAGCTATGAGTTTGGTTGACTGGAACAGTGGAATTGGCTGAAAATAGGGCTCAAAATCAGCGAAATTGCCAATGCGTATATATCCCTGAGATCACTAACTTCGCGGGAGCATAATTTCGTAAGTTTTCGATCAAATTTTGTTCTTTTAGTGTAGTTACTATCGGGAAAAGATTCTCTTTCATTTCACAAGAAAAAATAATTATTTTTTTTCCCAAAAATTTTTCGACACCAGGAGACACTTCAGAATTTGGAGTTGCGACAGTCAAAGGGTTAAATTACCAGGTTAGGGGGCTTACAATATAGCCTATTATCTGAAACTTCTGAATTATGAAATAAATTTTTCTTATTTGCTTGTCTTCTGAACTAGGTGATTTGATCCGTTAATGCAGAAGACCATCGTACACTTAGAATACAGGTATTGTAACCTGTAGTGCTACAGTACAGTGCTGTTCCGTATAGTAATTTTGTAGTACAGGTTGGTCATCACTAATCCGGCATCATCTGCACCTGTAGAGTGCCGGATTACTGATTTTGCCGGATCACTCAATTCGCATCCTATATTTGAAAATAAGAAAAAAATTTGGAGTGAGTTAAACAAGTTAAGAAAGCCTAGAGAACGAATGGATTTGTCAGTTAAAAACAGAGTAGGGGAGTTAGTAGATGGGGAGATGGAGGTTTTGGGTAGATGACAAGAATATTTTGAGGAACTTTTAAATGTTGAGGAAGAAAGGGAAGCGGTAATTTCATGCACTGGCCAGGGAGGTATACCATCTTTTAGGAGTGAAGAACAGGATGTGAGTGTGGGGGAGGTGCATGAAGCACGTAGAATGAAAGGGGCTAAAGCAGCTGGAACTGATGGGATCATGACAAATGTTAAAAGCAGGGGGGGATATAGTGTTGGAGTGGTTGGTATTTTTGTTTAATAAATGTATGAAAGGGGGGAAGGTACCTAGGGATTGGCAGAGAGCATGTATAGTCCCTTTATATAAAGGGAAGGGGGACAAAAGAGATTGTAAAAATTATAGAGGAATAAGTTTACTGAGTATACCAGGAAAAGTGTAGAGTAGGGTTATAATTGAAAGAATTAGAGGTAAGACAGAATGTAGGATTGCAGATGAGCAAGGAGGTTTCAGAGTGGGTAGGGTATGTGTAGATCAAGTGTTTACATTGAGGCATATATGTGAACAGTATTTAGATAAAGGTAGGGAAGTTTTTATTGCATTTATGGATTTAGAAAAGGCATATGATAGAGTGGATAGGGGAGCAATGCGGCAGATGTTGCAAGTACAGTGGACCCCCGGTTAACGATATTTTTTCACTCCAGAAGTATGTTCAGGTGCCAGTACTGACCGAATTTGTTCCCATAAGGAATATTGTGAAGTAGATTAGTCCATTTCAGACCCCCAAACATACACGTACAAACGCACTTACATAAATACACTTACATAATTGGTCGCATTCGGAGGTGATCGTTATG